TGCATCATAAATACGAGAGAGTTACGCCTGGAGAAAATACCGCGCTTTTGTTTACTTCTGGGCGGGTCATTACGCTTCAGCGAGAACAAAACATGACATATCTGACAAACATTTATGAAAAAAAAAAGAGACATACCTGCCCCTGAGTGTAGGACGAGTCTGTTATGTAAGAGGCTGGGGAATACCTTGGTGAGGACAGAAGATACCTCTGTCCCTTGAGACCGGGCCCGTCCATGTCCAACACATCACAAACATGTTTCATCAATGGAACACGTCCTGCTGTGTGGATGTGAGTCACAGGAGGCTGACGGGAAAAAAGAGGAGAGGTCTCTGCTGTGGATTGAAAATAGACAGGTCACTATAAAGAAACACAGCATGGTCTTTAATTGAAATCAAAGCATGAAACAACTGTACTTTTAATGAGCTTTTGTGGTGTGGTTGATTGAATATAGATGGATATATAACTAATATTGTTGCTAATATAAAGCAGGGTTTATATTAGGGCCCAACCGGATTTATTTGTGGCCGATATAATACCGATAAAATGGGAGTCGGAGTTGCCAATATAATCTGCCAATATAAGCCAAATGTCCATTAATATGTGCTGTCCACCTACAAATAAATAAATAAGAAATAATAAAAGTGCGTAATAACAGTTATTTCTTCATGTCTGCACATATACTGTATATAGAAATGGACATATCTAACACTCTAGCCGCTGTGTTCCAAACAGGAAGTGTACATGCGGCTCTTCCGGCTCCTTCTGACTCTGGTTCCCAGTGATTTCCATTGCAATATTGTCGTCTCTCTCTCGTTCTGTAACTGCTGCTATGATTCTCTTCACTTTGGTCAAAAAATGTTTGTATTAACCCACTCTACATGATCCTGGTGTTTTTCTTCTATTCTGTCCGTCATAAAAATAATATTCCTAACATAGAGCTTGTCCCCAAATTCACCCCTGTAACCATCAGCATCGTGAGTTTCATTTGAGTGGAGCCAAACGCTATGGGCGACGTCACACTCACTTAGTTCACTTTTTGATACAGTCTATGTGTCTGCACTGAAATAGCAAAGGATCATGGTCTATGTAGTTCCCTCTGTTGTTTTTAGCTATTACTGCAACATAACAATGAGACTTGAGATTCTATATATTGTGATGGCCCATGATATTATTGTTAGACTTTTGCGGCACAGTGGCTGAGTGGCTAGCACTCATGCCTCACAGCAAGAAGGTTCTGGGTTTGATCCCCGGGTCGCCTGGGCCTTTCTGTGTGGAGTGTGCATGTTTCTCCCCTTGTTTGGATGGATTTCCTCCGGGCGCTCCGGTTTCCCCCATCAACCCAAAACCTGCTCCAGGTCTCCATGAACAGTTGATAGTCAAGATCAGTTAAACACAATCAATTCAATCATTGTGTGTCCTTAGGCAAGACACTTCACCCACATTGCCTAGTATGAAAGTGGTGTGTGTGTGAGTGATGTTGGTGGTCAGAGGGACTGATGGCGCTGATTGGCATGGCAGCCGCGCTTCTGTCAGTCTGCCCCAGGGCAGCTGTGGCTACAATAGTAGTTTACCATCATCAGGGTGTAGAGTGAATGAATAATGCTGAATAATGATCTGTGAAGTGTCTTTGGGGACAGAAAATGTCTGTGAAAAGTGCTATATAAATAAAGACTTACTTACTTTTGACGATACGCTATCACAGTATTTCTGTTATTGTTACATTCGTACGTTTAATACAAACTAAACTGTCTGTGTTGATGCTAAAATAGGCTGAGGCACATCTGTTGGTGTCGCCATCTTTGTTTTGGTTCACTTCCACACAAACCTCGGTGCTGCTTTGTGCTCGCTGAACTGTACTGCAGGAGAATCTCTAGATGGATTCTGGTGAGTTGGTAAACACACAAATATGGCGAGAATTCATCTTGCTGTACAAGATTAGAGTTTCAATGCATTTGAACACAAAACAGATCAATTTTGTAGCATTTATAGTATTGCTTGGTATCAGATTAAAGCAGAAATTACTGGCCTTCATCACCCATCACTAGGGTGAGTGTAAGAGATTAAAATCACTGGTGCTGTTACACTGTCCTCAGAGCTTGAGAAGGATCGAGGGAGGTGCAGATCTGAGGGAAGAATCCACAAGGAATCTGGCTTTCTGACCAGTGGAGCAATCTGGAGCAGTGCTGCTCAATACCGATTCTGATGATAAAAACACTTTTTACTTAGACAGCAGAATGTAATTTTCAAGATTAAATCATCGTATTTTCTTTTCTATTCCCATGTGTTCTTAAATGTGAGCAATCCTCAGTGGTCCAGTAGGTTCCATAGTGGTCCATAGGTGTCTATCTGCTCTTGTATTTATTCTGATACAGCTCAAAATCATTCTAAAACTGTTCAGGAATGGTAAAGACTTTTCTGTCCCATGAATGCATTTTTTTGTATGAGTATCTGCTCAAATAATTTAGGTTTGGTATCAACTAGTATCTGATTTGGATACTTTTGTCAACCCTAGTCTGGAGCGCTGTTCAGGTAATTAGATGAAACCTTCTCTGTGATATCACCTGAACCTGTTGGTCAAATACAAACCTCAGTAAACAGGAAGTCTGGTAGTCACCCGATCAAAATACGTATCTGAATCCGCCTTGTATTGAAAGTTAATCAAGCATAAATGATTAGGAATTCACAGGGAACAATGGAGTTTGTCGTGACTGCGTTTCCTAGAATGTTCTTAAAAGCCCCTTATTACTCAACACTGACTCTTGTGTGCTGTAAACCATGTTATAATGTCGTTACCTCATCAAAAACAAACCTTGTGTGAATTGTGTTTTGGTTCATTCACACATGCTTGAGTAACCCTTTATTTATGACTCTGTCTGCATCTCCAAACCGTTTAACTTTAGTTCAGTAGAGATTGGCAGTTCCAGGGTTGAAATCATCCAAATGATTCTAGTGAGGGTGTGTGGAGTTTAAAAACACGGTGGAGCACTTAAACTTGTCAGAATAGAGGCTTTGCACCGTCACGTGACCACTATAGCGACAGTACCTACACCGCCATGACACAGGGCACACTATGTCATTGACTTCAAGGTTGTATAGAGGATTTTCCAAGGAATGAGAAATCCAGCGACTGTTTGTCCTTTTTCAAATGTTGCGCATGCGTGAAACCACCCCCCTCCCCTACAGCTCCCTACGTAGAAACGCCTCCTCCCGCCTCCTCCTTACGCCAGAAACAGGTTTGTTTACAGCCGGTGCACATGACTTGTAAACAACTAAGTACAGTGTTGGTTAGGCAAGACGGAGAAGTGAGGAGCGGGGGGAGGGGGTGCGCGGACATTTCGTGCACGGACGAGAAGTGAGGAGCAGGGAGAAGAACGGAACGGGGAGAGGAGAGAGGAGCGGTGTGCGGAGATTCCATGCACGGAGAAGTGAGGAGCGGGGAGAGGAGGTTGCGCGGAGATTCCGTGCGAATGAAGCTACTAATACAACGCGCAGCAGCAAGCGGACTCTTTCTTTGCCTTGAAAATTACGTTTTCAGACATAGGATATCACATTCATGTCCTGAAAAATGTTTGTCTAACTCTTGGAAATAAAGTACGTTTTCATAATAAGCAGAAGTGACCTGTCCAGGAGTAATTTGGCGACCAGTGCGTCAGTCTTTAGACTCTGCGTCTGCTTCAGTCGCGCCATCGCTGGAATGAATCTACAAGAATCACCTTAGTTTGGCTTCGCTGCTTTTCCCCTTGTCTTCTTCTTTCAGCGACCTCAAAAACAGACTTTCTTTTGCAGCTAACTGCTCCTGGATTCTTGTCGCCATTGCAACAAACTTTGTGCTAACTGCGAGGAAGATATAGGTCAAAAAAGCCGCTAAGAACTGTTGCGTTGGTGGAGTAAACAGCGTCTGTGCGTCTTGTGTCTGTGGACTGTGTGACAGTCGTACGTAAACCACGTACCGGCGGCGCAAGGCAAGTCAGTTACGCTACAAACGTAGGGAGTTTGATTGACAGCCTGTCAGCTCACAGATAACGAGGCAGTGTCGTTATCTATTGGCAAATTTTTAGCCCCACCACGTCCAGAGTTGATGAATTTTTATTCTCTTTTTTTTGGTCATCATAATTACAAGGCTACTGCATCTCTATAATCTATCATTGACAATTTGAAACAAAAAAAATAATCCTCCATACAACCTTTCAGTAGCATCGGAGAAACGTGGGCAGGTTTTGTTGTGTATTTGGTTGTTCTAGACCAGGGGTCTCAGACTCGCGGCCCGGGGGCCAACTGCGGCCCTCGAAAGAATTTTTTTGCGGCCCTCCACTTAATTCCAAAGAATAATGTCAGTGCGACCCACGGTAGATGTACGCACAATCCCACCTACTGCGGGCCGCACTGACAGATGAAGCTGCAATCGGTGCCCATACAGATTCACAACAACAGATTATTAATGCAGCTTACATCCCAAAACTCAATTTACAGCAGTTGTGAAGCAACGAGTCTAAGTGGATCTGTTAATATGAGTACACGTGCACATACAGCGTTTTTTTTTTCATGTAACCGCGATTTATCGAATACTCAATGCGGCCCAGCCTCACTCAGACTTTATCTAATGTGGCCCCCAGGTAATTTGAGTTTGAGACCCCTGGACTAAAGGATTACAAGCCACATACATGTATTTATCAATGCATATGTAAAAATTCTTAAATCAAAATGTGGAAAAGGGAATGTGTTTGAAAATATATCCTGCAAACGACATCGGTCTGTTTACTAATATTATTACTATTACTATTACTATTACTACAGTTTAGAAAGACAAATACAACATGAAGTTTTTTTTTTGTTATGCTTTATTGTTCAAGTGCAGAACAGTGAGGGGGTGAGAGAGGCTCTACATGCCCAGGAGCCTCCTGTACCACCTCCTCTTTTTCTTCTTCCGTTCCATCTCCAGCTCCTGCTCCAGCGCCGTGCTCACCTCCTCCAGCAGGGAGCACTGTCTTTCTGTGCTCCTCTACTTTTCCTCCGAGACGTTGAATCTTTGGAGCAGTAGGGAGAGCTCTGTGTTCAGCTTCTCACAGGTGTTTACGAGAGCTGATTTCTCTTCTTCTAAAGCAGTCTTCAGCTGATGTTCCTGCTCTATCTGCTGGTGTAGAGCCCTGTTCTTTACAGTCAGCAGGGAGAGCTCTTCCTGAGTTGTAGTCAGGGCGTGGTCCAGTGCGCCACACCTGTCCACCAGCAGGGAGCGCTCTGCCTGGAAGTCTTTACTGGTGCTCAACATGGCAACCTTCTCATTTTCTAACTGTGCTCTGCCATGTTTTTCCTCTTTAACTTCCTGCTCTAGAGCACAGTGATTTGCAGTGAGCAGGAAGTTCTTTTCCTCACACCTCCTCAGTTTTTCCTGCACCGCATCACATGCCTCGACTTGCACCGAGAGCTGTAATTTTAGCTCATCGCAAGTCCTCAACAGGGCGACCTTTTCATTTAGCAGGTCGTCTTTGTTCAGTTTGTCCTGCTCGACCTGCTGTTGGAGGGGCAGTGGTCTTTGTCTCTAGCAGGGAGCACTCTTTCTCGAAGGTCTCGAGTAGCTCCTCTAGTCCACTGCACTTCTCCTCCAGCAGGGAGCGCTCTATGCTTAGCACTTGGCAGGACTTCAGAATGGTGGCATTTTCTTTCTGGAGCTCAGCACTGATGTTTTTCTCCTGTTCTACCTCCTGCACCAGTTCCTTCTTCAGAGCCCCGTACCTTTTTTTGAGGATGGAGTGCTCTTCCTGAGACCTCCTCAGGCAGTCCTGCAGCTTCTCACGGGTCTGCACAATGTTTTGGACCTGTGTCTGCATGTTCTCTAGTTCCTGGAGCCTCTGGGCCTTCAGCTCAGCCTCCTTTTGGTGTCTGAGCTCCAGAGATGACCTGTCTGTTTCAAGTTGGGCCAGAGTACGCTCCAGGTGAGAGTTGCGTTCTCTCAGAGCAGTATTTTCCAAAGACTTTTCCTGGAGTTTGGAATTCAGATCAGCAGAGTCCTGCTGGAGTCTCTGCTTTTCTGTTTCCCACTCTGCTGATTTTCTGCAGGAATCGTCTACGTGTTGCTGCAACAGCGCTGTCAGGTCAGCGACCTGTTTCTCCAGTCCCTCAATATCTCGGGACTGAGGCTGGTTGTTCAGTTCATCTGGTTGGATGAACAGATCTTCTCTGGCTCTGGCCTGAACAGCTGAGGCAGCCTGGAGTCGAGACATGACTAAAGCCATGCCCTTCTCCTCGTCCTCCTTGGACCTCTGGTGGTGTTGAGGTCCAAGCTGCTCCCGTTCTAACTCCTCAAGAGTTAGAAACTCTTGAGGATTTTGAAAGGTGTGGACCACCTGTTCTGGTGGCCCAGAGGCCTGATGTGGGTTGGTAGGTGTTAATCCCAACGCCTCCATCAGGTTGAACTCCTGGCTGTACAAGAGTTCGTCGTCCTCACTCGTGTAATCGCACCAGTCTTTGGGCATGTTTGTCTGTGGTGAGTCTCTGTGTCTCGGTCGAAGGTTGAATAGAAGTGATTTTACACTGGAACTTGTGCTATACTTATATAAATCAACAAGTGAAGCTTTATGATGTCATAAAATAGAAATAGAATGTGGATGGAACGTGTTGCCAGGTGACGCCAGGTGTTGCCAGGTGCTGTCATGTGATCAGGTCAGGTAAGGTGATTCCATAGTTGCCATAGTTACATATGAATTCCAGTATATCACAGATGTATTTGAAAGTGTTTTTAAAGGTTAAATATGTATTTTTGTGGTGTTTGAAGCGTCTTTCGTCTCCACCTGCTTTCTCTGTGCGGACAACCAACCTTACAATATGACCGACGCCACACAAAGAGAGTTCACCTGCGAAGATCTGGATCTTTTTATGTATAGTATTTGGAAACATATTTTCGTATGTGATTATTCCACTTTATTTCTATTAAAAAAATGTTTTTAATACATTTTAAAGTTCCTCTCGTACCGGAGCCAGAACATGTACAACTTGTCTGTTGAAAGGAACGTGTGGATGTGGAGATGTAGCCAAGAGTGGTGGGATTGCGATGTGCTTCGCTTCAGTGACACGGAGTTCATTAAATATTTTTGTATGAAGAGAAGAATGTTTGTGTACATTTGTGGCTTGTTGATAGCATGTAGGTCAGCTGAATGCGACCTGGCCGTTCAGACTGAAGTCGCGTGTCAAAAAATCGGATATGTATCGGTTTTAGGAGCACATATCCAAGTGTTCTGGGTCACATTTGAAAAACTCGTATCTGTGTCGTTCAGACTGTCAATAAAAGATCAGATACAGGTCACACAGGGGCCAAAAAAATCAGATTTGTGTCACTTCAGGCTGCAGTGTGAACGTAGCCTTAGTTTGGGCGTTTCCTGCGACTTATACTCAGGTGTGACTTATATTAAAATTTTCACACTGAAGCCGCGACAGGCTCTAGTCTTGTGTGTCCGTATCTGTTCCTCCTGTACCACTGCCACTTCACTCTACTGCGCATGTCTCCTGCAGAAAGAGCCTCTGTCCTGCTGTAAGTAGTGAAATATTCAGTCGAAAACGGTAATCGAGCAGCAGAAAGAAACTTGTGAGGGACTGGCGGAAAGCGGGGATGGAGAACACAACTTCAACAGTTTCATGCAACTTTCCTGAAGTCACTGGATTGATGGACAAAGCCTGGACTTCAGTGACACCGAAACCATCCTGTCGGGATTCAGAAAGACCGAAATAATTCTAACTGGAACTGATGCTTAGTCTGACGACAGCTACACAGAAGAGGAAGCGGCGCTCTGTTTACCTCCGGAGGTCGTGGAGTTGCTCAGAAGTGGCACTGAGGATGAAGAATTGAATGGATTTAGTGATTTGGAGTGAGATGGAGAGTTTGTTAAACTTGTTCTGTTCTGTTGTTTAGGCTATAGTTATCTGAAGAACTGTTCATATGTGACGTTAACAGTCTGTTGTTCTCTGTGTTGTGGATTCGGCTACACCTACAATGAAAAAAAAATGTCCGAGCGATAACTTCAGTTTAAAATGGCTTTACTGAAAAAATGTTGCCAGTGTCAAATCATTCATATTTCTCTAACAACTCGTGATGTTCTATCTGACAAGCAAACTTGTTTATAACTGTTTATAACTTCTTCAGCTGAGGTTTTCAAAGAACATCATCCTCCTTTGGAATACAGAGAACCAGCGCCATCTATGGGTGAAAACATCTGGTGCTACAACTGAAGGAAAATAATCCTTTTCTGGTTTTGAATAACAAATAAAGCTATTATATAGCCTTTTAAACATTAACTTATTGTAGTCTTGTAATGAATTCAATCTGAATATATTTATTTATCAAACTGTCATTTTAACTCTGTAATAACAAATGAATTAACCATTTGTTTACCTTTTTAACTCTTTCCCCCTTGGACGCCTACTTGGAACAACCCATACATATATTAGTATGTATGGGTTGTAGTGGCCCCACCTATCACAGCCTCTGATTACATGTGGGTCCGGTCAAGTGGTAACGGAGGGAAACGGGCAGATTTTTGACATTCAAATGTCTCTTATTCAGAAACTAGAGGGACTATTGAAATAAGTAAAGTATCAGAATGTAGGAAAGAGTTACACTCCAACAGGGTCAAGTTAAACCTGTGATATTCTTTCAAGTTGTTGACAAAAAATGTAAAAATTCATGTCGGTAACGTAGGGAATGAAATATGCAGCACTTTTTGGGCAATAAATACAAACAGTGATAACTAGCGGTTCTCACTTACATATCCTTAACAAACTGGTTTGAATATTTGCTTCATATAGTTTTCTATCATATGGTACAAGATTAGGTTGAAAAACCTCTTACTTTTTGAGTCATGAGATTTTTTATTAAGAAAGGTCATGGTAACGAATACTTTAATAATAGGTAACTATTTCTATAAAATATGTCAGTCCTTCCAAGCAAATTTTTATCGTTTTAAATACATTTTTTATTTTTCTTTAAATCATGTACCTTCATCAACAGTTCAAAGATCGATTAACACAAGATAAGATGAAATACATCCATTTATTTACATGATTTGCAGGTCTGTGAAATTTGGGAAATCATTTTTGTTCCATGTTTCATACATGGTCTGTTTAAAATGTATGGAACTTTAGAACCAAAACTGATACAGAAAAAAGGTCAACAGTTTCATAAACTAGAGTACATATGCTACCTGTTGAATACATTTTTATATCAGATGCATTAACTTGAATTTTTGGCCTTGCTGTATACTTCTGCTTGACCGGGCCCATGTGAAAAACCGAGCCATTTGTAATGGTCGTCCAATCACGTTTTTAGTGATACAGCAGAGGCGTCAAAAGACGTCATTAAGGAAACAAGGGAGGGTCGTCAAATGTCGTCTTCACGGGGGAAAGAGTTAAACAAAATATTCAACAAACTACAAAAGCTTAAATGTACTAGTATATGTCCACAAAAACATTCTTGCTCGACTAAAGACGTGTCCTCACAATCAATTAGCCAAATAAAAAGGGGCGTGGCCACAACATTCAAAACTATTATGAACTGATCATGTATATGACCCTGCATGAAAGTTAAAACAAAAAACTATTAAGCAGATCTAAACTCATGATTCTCTCCCAAATAAAATGACAAGTGACAAATAAAACTGTTGGCTGACTAAGGACACCACTGATCGATTGATGGACTAAAGCAGGGGTCTCAGACTCGCGGCCCGGGGGCCAACTGCGGCCCTCGGAAGAATTTTTTGCGGCCCTCCACTTAATTCCAAAGAATAATGTCAGTGCGACCCACGGTAGATGTACGCACAATCCCACCCCCCTACTGCGGGCCGCACTGACAGATGAAGCTGCAATCGGTGCCCATACAGATTCACAACAACAGATTATTAATGCAGCTTACATCCCAAAACTCAATTTACAGCAGTTGTGAAGCAACGAGTCTGAGTGGATCTGTTAATATGAGTACACGTGCACATACAGCGTTTTTTTTTTCATGCAACCGCGATTTATCGAATACTCAATGCGGCCCAGCCTCACTCAGACTTTATCTAATGTGGCCCCCAGGTAATTTGAGTTTGAGACCCCTGGACTAAAGGATTACAAGCCACATACATGTATTTATCAATGCATATGTAAAAATTCTTAAATCAAAATGTGGAAAAGGGAATGTGTTTGAAAATATATCCTGCAAACGACATCGGTCTGTTTACTAATATTATTACTATTACTATTACTACAGTTTAGAAAGACAAATACAACATGAAGTTTTTTTTTTTGTTATGCTTTATTGTTCAAGTGCAGAACAGTGAGGGGGTGAGAGAGGCTCTACATGCCCAGGAGCCTCCTGTACCACCTCCTCTTTTTCTTCTTCCGTTCCATCTCCAGCTCCTGCTCCAGCGCCGTGCTCACCTCCTCCAGCAGGGAGCACTGTCTTTCTGTGCTCCTCTACTTTTCCTCCGAGACGTTGAATCTTTGGAGCAGTAGGGAGAGCTCTGTGTTCAGCTTCTCACAGGTGTTTACGAGAGCTGATTTCTCTTCTTCTAAAGCAGTCTTCAGCTGATGTTCCTGCTCGACCTGCTGTTGGAGGGCAGTGGTCTTTGTCTCTAGCAGGGAGCACTCTTTCTCGAAGGTCTCGAGTAGCTCCTCTAGTCCACTGCACTTCTCCTCCAGCAGGGAGCGCTCTATGCTTAGCACTTGGCAGGACTTCAGAATGGTGGCATTTTCTTTCTGGAGCTCAGCACTGATGTTTTTCTCCTGTTCCACCTCCTGCACCAGTTCCTTCTTCAGAGCCCCGTACCTTTTTTTGAGGATGGAGTGCTCTTCCTGAGACCTCCTCAGGCAGTCCTGCAGCTTCTCACGGGTCTGCACAATGTTTTGGACCTGTGTCTGCATGTTCTCTAGTTCCTGGAGCCTCTGGGCCTTCAGCTCAGCCTCCTTTTGGTGTCTGAGCTCCAGAGATGACCTGTCTGTTTCAAGTTGGGCCAGAGTACGCTCCAGGTGAGAGTTGCGTTCTCTCAGAGCAGTATTTTCCAAAGACTTTTCCTGGAGTTTGGAATTCAGATCAGCAGAGTCCTGCTGGAGTCTCTGCTTTTCTGTTTCCCACTCTGCTGATTTTCTGCAGGAATCGTCTACGTGTTGCTGCAACAGCGCTGTCAGGTCAGCGACCTGTTTCTCCAGTCCCTCAATATCTCGGGACTGAGGCTGGTTGTTCAGTTCATCTGGTTGGATGAACAGATCTTCTCTGGCTCTGGCCTGAACAGCTGAGGCAGCCTGGAGTCGAGACATGACTAAAGCCATGCCCTTCTCCTCGTCCTCCTTGGACCTCTGGTGGTGTTGAGGTCCAAGCTGCTCCCGTTCTAACTCCTCAAGAGTTAGAAACTCTTGAGGATTTTGAAAGGTGTGGACCACCTGTTCTGGTGGCCCAGAGGCCTGATGTGGGTTGGTAGGTGTTAATCCCAACGCCTCCATCAGGTTGAACTCCTGGCTGTACAAGAGTTCGTCGTCCTCACTCGTGTAATCGCACCAGTCTTTGGGCATGTTTGTCTGTGGTGAGTCTCTGTGTCTCGGTCGAAGGTTGAATAGAAGTGATTTTACACTGGAACTTGTGCTATACTTATATAAATCAACAAGTGAAGCTTTATGATGTCATAAAATAGAAATAGAATGTGGATGGAACGTGTTGCCAGGTGACGCCAGGTGTTGCCAGGTGCTGTCATGTGATCAGGTCAGGTAAGGTGATTCCATAGTTGCCATAGTTACATATGAATTCCAGTATATCACAGATGTATTTGAAAGTGTTTTTAAAGGTTAAATATGTATTTTTGTGGTGTTTGAAGCGTCTTTCGTCTCCACCTGCTTTCTCTGTGCGGACAACCAACCTTACAATATGACCGACGCCACACAAAGAGAGTTCACCTGCGAAGATCTGGATCTTTTTATGTATAGTATTTGGAAACATATTTTCGTATGTGATTATTCCACTTTATTTCTATTAAAAAAATGTTTTTAATACATTTTAAAGTTCCTCTCGTACCGGAGCCAGAACATGTACAACTTGTCTGTTGAAAGGAACGTGTGGATGTGGAGATGTAGCCAAGAGTGGTGGGATTGCGATGTGCTTCGCTTCAGTGACACGGAGTTCATTAAATATTTTTGTATGAAGAGAAGAATGTTTGTGTACATTTGTGGCTTGTTGATAGCATGTAGGTCAGCTGAATGCGACCTGGCCGTTCAGACTGAAGTCGCGTGTCAAAAAATCGGATATGTATCGGTTTTAGGAGCACATATCCAAGTGTTCTGGGTCACATTTGAAAAACTCGTATCTGTGTCGTTCAGACTGTCAATAAAAGATCAGATACAGGTCACACAGGGGCCAAAAAATCAGATTTGTGTCACTTCAGGCTGCAGTGTGAACGTAGCCTTAGTTTGGGCGTTTCCTGCGACTTATACTCAGGTGTGACTTATATTAAAATTTTCACACTGAAGCCGCGACAGGCTCTAGTCTTGTGTGTCCGTATCTGTTCCTCCTGTACCACTGCCACTTCACTCTACTGCGCATGTCTCCTGCAGAAAGAGCCTCTGTCCTGCTGTAAGTAGTGAAATATTCAGTCGAAAAACGGTAATCGAGCAGCAGAAAGAAACTTGTGAGGGACTGGCGGAAAGCGGGGATGGAGAACACAACTTCAACAGTTTCATGCAACTTTCCTGAAGTCACTGGATTGATGGACAAAGCCTGGACTTCAGTGACACCGAAACCATCCTGTCGGGATTCAGAAAGACCGAAATAATTCTAACTGGAACTGATGCTTAGTCTGACGACAGCTACACAGAAGAGGAAGCGGCGCTCTGTTTACCTCCGGAGGTCGTGGAGTTGCTCAGAAGTGGCACTGAGGATGAAGAATTGAATGGATTTAGTGATTTGGAGTGAGATGGAGAGTTTGTTAAACTTGTTCTGTTCTGTTGTTTAGGCTATAGTTATCTGAAGAACTGTTCATATGTGACGTTAACAGTCTGTTGTTCTCTGTGTTGTGGATTCGGCTACACCTACAATGAAAAAAAAAATGTCCGAGCGATAACTTCAGTTTAAAATGGCTTTACTGAAAAAATGTTGCCAGTGTCAAATCATTCATATTTCTCTAACAACTCGTGATGTTCTATCTGACAAGCAAACTTGTTTATAACTGTTTATAACTTCTTCAGCTGAGGTTTTCAAAGAACATCATCCTCCTTTGGAATACAGAGAACCAGCGCCATCTATGGGTGAAAACATCTGGTGCTACAACTGAAGGAAAATAATCCTTTTTCTGGTTTTGAATAACAAATAAAGCTATTATATAGCCTTTTAAACATTAACTTATTGTAGTCTTGTAATGAATTCAATCTGAATATATTTATTTATCAAACTGTCATTTTAACTCTGTAATAACAAATGAATTAACCATTTGTTTACCTTTTTAACTCTTTCCCCCTTGGACGCCTACTTGGAACAACCCATACATATATTAGTATGTATGGGTTGTAGTGGCCCCACCTATCACAGCCTCTGATTACATGTGGGTCCGGTCAAGTGGTAACGGAGGGAAACGGGCAGATTTTTGACATTCAAATGTCTCTTATTCAGAAACTAGAGGGACTATTGAAATAAGTAAAGTATCAGAATGTAGGAAAGAGTTACACTCCAACAGGGTCAAGTTAAACCTGTGATATTCTTTCAAGTTGTTGACAAAAAATGTAAAAATTCATGTCGGTAACGTAGGGAATGAAATATGCAGCACTTTTTGGGCAATAAATACAAACAGTGATAACTAGCGGTTCTCACTTACATATCCTTAACAAACTGGTTTGAATATTTGCTTCATATAGTTTTCTATCATATGGTACAAGATTAGGTTGAAAAACCTCTTACTTTTTGAGTCATGAGATTTTTTATTAAGAAAGGTCATGGTAACGAATACTTTAATAATAGGTAACTATTTCTATAAAATATGTCAGTCCTTCCAAGCAAATTTTTATCGTTTTAAATACATTTTTTATTTTTCTTTAAATCATGTACCTTCATCAACAGTTCAAAGATCGATTAACACAAGATAAGATGAAATACATCCATTTATTTACATGATTTGCAGGTCTGTGAAATTTGGGAAATCATTTTTGTTCCATGTTTCATACATGGTCTGTTTAAAATGTATGGAACTTTAGAACCAAAACTGATACAGAAAAAAGGTCAACAGTTTCATAAACTAGAGTACATATGCTACCTGTTGAATACATTTTTATATCAGATGCATTAACTTGAATTTTTGGCCTTGCTGTATACTTCTGCTTGACCGGGCCCATGTGAAAAACCGAGCCATTTGTAATGGTCGTCCAATCACGTTTTTAGTGATACAGCAGAGGCGTCAAAAGACGTCATTAAGGAAACAAGGGAGGGTCGTCAAATGTCGTCTTCACGGGGGAAAGAGTTAAACAAAAATATTCAACAAACTACAAAAGCTTAAATGTACTAGTATATGTCCACAAAAACATTCTTGCTCGACTAAAGACGTGTCCTCACAATCAATTAGCCAAATAAAAAGGGGCGTGGCCACAACATTCAAAACTATTATGAACTGATCATGTATATGACCCTGCATGAAAGTTAAAACAAAAAACTATTAAGCAGATCTAAACTCATGATTCTCTCCCAAATAAAATGACAAGTGACAAATAAAACTGTTGGCTGACTAAGGACACCACTGATCGATTGATGGACTAAAGCAGGGGTCTCAGACTCGCGGCCCGGGGGCCAACT